GGAGGCAGAGGAGGGGATGAGAGCATGTCCTCACATTTGGGTGTGTGTGTAAATGTAGCCAGTGGTGTTGAGAGGGACAGGAGGTTGGGATCGTGGATGGCTAAATAAAGGACAGCCACATTTTAAAAAGTGCTCATGCAATCACTGGTGCGTCCTAACATGCACATTAAGGTAGAGGTTGGTGTTGGCTCTACGGGGTCGTTTATCTGACTGAGTGGTTCCTGAGGCCATGCCAGCAGCCCAGAAAATGTCTGATAGATTAATACAAAATTGTGTCCTATGGCAGCATAGATGAATTACAAGGGACCAGGTGAAAAGAAAGGCAGGGGCCAGTGTGAATCTGTCACCTGGTAAGGGAAAGCCATTCAGTACAGACCCCTCGATGGTGAGTCATTTTCATTCATGTGTAGGAAAAATAATTAATTTGAAATATTTAATATAGTGGGCAACCATCTAATCTTTCATTAATCTGTCTGCCCTGCCTAAGCTAGACTATAAACTTTTCAGGGTCAAAAAACAAAACAAAAAACAAAAGAGGAACTGAGCCTCAGAGTATAATTATGTCATTTCATAGTAAAATTCTATACACTCTAGATAGACTCACTCAAAAATTTAGGTTTTTCTTTCACTGTAAATCACTCCCTTACAGTAACTATTTTGACATTGACTCTGTTTCTTCTTGGGCTGAGGGTCTGATACAGTTCCAGAATCCCTAATGTAGATCCAGGCTATAAATAAGGTGCAGGGAATACAACTTAAGTGTTTTTTGGCTGGATAATGTTTAATCATACTTAAGTTTAATAACAATGAGAAAAACATATTACAGAGCTGCAGATATTCATAGAAATGAGTAATTAGGAAAGCATTCATTTGGGAGGTTTCTGAAGCGAAGCTGTCCTTGAACAAAAAACAAACAAAACAAAGAAAAGGGGAATTTTAGAATGTCTTCCATTACAATTGTGACCTTCACTGTCAATTTCCACATGGCTTGGACTTGGGGCTTCAAATTCCAGTTTTGGTTAACGAAAGTGAAGTGGCAGCCACCGCTCTCCACCCTGAGTCAGTCAGTGTACACGGAACCAATCCAGGGCTGGATCATAAAGACAGATGGAGTAGAAGAGAATTAAGGAGGAAGCAAGAATGTCTGTACATGTAGATGAACTTGTACTGATGGAACAGACAGGAAAAAGGGGAGGATGGGGAAGATGAGAGACACTTGCGCTTTCAAAATATTAATGCTGCCCCACCAGCTGAGACTGTCTCTTTAGACCATTGAGTTTAGTGCTTTCTGGATGAAGGGCGTATGTGGATGTATCCACCGAGCGGTGGATCGCTCTATCAGGAAGAGCTACCATTTACATTACATTGACATTTTACCACAAGACAAACTTAGATTTTCCAAAAGAAAATGTCCTTAAGCAGTTGTCCAATTTTAAATTACAGGCCAAATTAGACAGGCTCACTAAACCCGTGTCCTCTTATTACTGTGATTCCGAGGTCCTATTATACAGCTCCGCCCTTCCCATGCCCAAGGATAGATGTGGCAAGGCTTGTATTCCTGCGGTGCACTGTGACAAAGCTCCCTCAAAGGGCTCCAGACAAGGTTCCAGAGATGAAGCAGATGTCATTGGACAGCCAGGTCAGCCATCATCCCTGGGAAGACTGCCTTGTGGGGTGTGGCTCATGCTGCTACACCGGGGCCTGGGCTGCTGTGGTTCTCAAACTTCACTGAGTGTCCGAATCATCACAGATAGCTGGGAAACCACCCCCCACCACCCTTCTAGAAGAGTGTCTAACAGTAGGCTGGGCCCTGAGAATTAGCATTTTTAACAAGCTCCCAGTAAGGTTGATGCTACTGGTTCAGGGATTATAATCTGAGAACCAATGGTCTAGTGTTTCCTTTTGGCGAGCAAACAGAGATTTGGGCTCTCAACCATCATTCTTAACTGCTGTGAGAGTGTTCACCTGAGCACACACTAGATGGGAAAACGATGCCTGTATCCCTGGTATTATCATTTGCTAAAGCAAATCGTTGCTTTGTATCAAGCATGGTTTAAAAGGGACTGATGGTATTGAAAATTTCCAAAGTATTGGCTAAAGCCTTTGACCAGAATAATAGTTTTAAAAATCAATGTGAGACACGTGTCCAAAAATGAAATTTACTTGAATATAATTCAATTCTAATGGGGCCTTTTCTTTTGTTTTTTTAGAGATGGGGTCTTACTCTGTCGCCCAGGCTGGAGTGCAGTGGTGCGATGATAGTTCACTGCAGCCGTGGATTACTGGGCTCAGGTGATCCTCCCACCTCAGCCTTATGAGTAGCTGGGACTAACAGGCGCGGCCAGCACACCTGACTTTACGGGGATTTCTTAAAAGTCTGGCTACCGAATTATCGCACAGGGCACATGTTTTATTGAGTAGGGGAAATTCTATTTGACATCCATATCCTAGTTCAATAATATGTATAGTAAAAGACTGTCTTGTTATTTATCATTTAATATTTACATGCTGCCTTTCTAATCCCCAACTGGCCAAAAAGTTGCAAGACTAAATTAAATAGTACTGAAAAGAAATAAAACCTAACAGGGGAAACAATACCACAGTGGCATTTAGACCACTATTTAGACGCCTACCGTTTTGCCCAGGAATGCCTGTCACGTGGTTATTGCTCCTTGGATCATTGGTATCAGGTGTTAAAATATACAAAGTGAGATTCTGTATGTCTCTGGATGTGGATACTTGGCTGCCTTTCAGTCTTTGATGTAATCATATATTAAGTACATAACGGACAGCTGTTGTCATAGAGGGCTAAATGCAATCAATTTAAAAAAATTCCCACACCAAAAAAACTCGCTTGATTGACATTTTGCTAAGAATCAAGTAGTTTAAAAGGTATCTTTTTTTTTTAAAACCAAGGACATCATTTTTCCTCTTGGGCACTACTTTCAAGGGCTCAGTAGAGTTACTGAATCGTGAGACCTTTTTCGCTCCAATTCACTTAAATCAAACTGACAAAATACTCTTGGTGAAAATTGCATAGAAGGTGAAAGAAAATATTAATTAATATAATCACTGCTTTGTATCAAGTCAAATTTGCAGTGGTGATTAGAAAATATTGTGACATGAGTGCAGATTTTTTCTAAAGTATGTTCTTTTATTGATTTTTTTTAAACAATATCCAACACTATCTGCAGAAGAATGCCATCTCCAAAATAAAACAAATCACAAGCTTCTTAGCAAGCACTACAGTCTAATATTAACCAGAATCACCATTACTCAGCATACAAATACGAGCAGATGAAAAAATGGAAACTGCAATACTTGTATATAATTTTACTGATGACAAGTCATGATAAAGATTATTCTAAACTTGCTTAATAGTTTCAAATGGATGATGGCTCAAAATAACTATGTTCTGTTCCAGTGAATACATCATGTTTAAATAATAAATAGGTTAATGTAGTATACATTTTGTTTTATTAAAAGAATGTTATTATTTTGTTAATAAAACTCTGCACTTGGGTATGGTAAAATAAAAATAAGCTGTCATATCAAGGGATACCCATATTCGACTCTGGTCAGAGCCCACTTTTGCCTTTCGTGCCAGCGCACACATCTTGTGGCTGTACCAGGCCGTGGGCCACTGCTGACGTTCTACATCCGCTTTCTTTTCCATGCAAACAAAGCCTATCAGGAAGCATTGAGAGTGAAGATATTGTAGGAATAATCTAACCCTGAATTGCTTCTGCTTTATACAAAGTACAAATCATTCACTAAGCCTTGATATTTTAACTATTAGTCAAAAACGGCTTAGAGCATAGCTGACAAATAATAGTGACACAGGTGCAAATTTGCTGCTCCAAAGAGCCCTACCACTACCCCCACCTCCAAGCGATGGCCGATAAACATCAGTTCTACTAAACAGATAAATTTACATGCCTGTGAGCCTCAAGAAGAGGAAAAGAGGGCAAGAAGATGTGAACAGAAGAGGTATTATATAGTTTATCAAGTACTGGTACCTTTAAAAGTATTTAAGTAACACAAAAGCACTGCTCTTAGGTGATGAGACCTGTGATGAACAGGGACCATGATATCTAATCATGATCATGTTCCCACAAGTGGCAAATCTAGAACCATAGCCTGTGCTCCATACATTCTTACATCTAACTTTAATATACGGTAAAATCCCACTACAAATTATTTTGTATGTTGCTTTGCTTCAATGGTGGTTGCAAGCACAACTTTGTTTTTAAAAAATGCACGGTACATTTTTCTTACTTTAGCATAGAACGGCCTGTGTTGTATATTTTCTTTTTATGACCAGGGGTTCTATGAAAATTAAAGCAGATCAATAGCGGATAGACCCACTTATTTCTAAAACTTCCGGTTTTAGAACATTATCCAATGATTTGCATTGCACCTTCACGTCAGCTCGGGCTGCAAATCTTGGTTCAGGAAAATCTGCAAATAGCATTCACAAATGAACATTTTTTTGAGCTCTGTGCTAGGTATTTACACTCTAGAGATGAGGAATTTATGCTCCCTGCTTTTGAGGAGCTAAGTGTGGGGACAGACTGCAGGACATCTGCTCCTGTCTTTATTTCGAAATCATCTGGAAGTAAGGTTGTAGGAGACCCAGGGAGGAGGAGAGTATGGCTTAGGCAATAGAGGATCCAAGTTTGCTGTGGCCCTGCTCTCCTGAGCACGGGGAGGCAGAGGCGGAGGCAGAGGCGGAGGCAGCAGGCGGCGGTGGGAGAAGCGCTGGGTCAGGGATAGGGGAGGGAAGGTTGGGCGAAAAACGATTTGCTGATTTTGGAAGTCTGTATGAGCTCACTTAGTGGAATGTTTAATCTCAGTAAAATCTAAGCAAGGTGAAAATAAGGACTCTCGTTTGTGGTGAGGGTACATTTGGGATCCAAGGCCTAAATGAAATGCATAAGTAACATTTAAAAAGAAAACATTGTAAAGCTTCTCTTTCTTTTTCTATTTTTAAGGGCAAAACAGAACAGCAGAATGGAAAATATGCTACTTTGGTTGATATTTTTCACTCCCGGGTGGACACTCATTGATGGATCTGAGACGGAACAGGATTTTATGTGGCACTTGAGAAAAGTACCCCGGATTGTCAGCGACAAGACCTTCCATCTCACCAGCCCCACATTTGAGGCGGATGCCACGATGGCGGTAAATAGAGTGTGTGGCATTGAATGCCAGAAAGAACTCCCCGCTCCCAGCCTTTCCGAGCTGGAGGATTATCTTTCATATGAGACTGTCTTTGAGAATGGCACCCGAACCTTAACCCGGGTGAAAGTACAGGATCTGGTCCTCGAGCCGACTCCAAATACCACCGCAAGAGGAGCATCTGTCAGGAGAAAGAGACAGGTGTACGGCACCGACAGCAGGTTCAGCATCTTGGACAAAAGGTTCTTAACCAATTTCCCCTTCAGCACAGCCGTGAAGCTCTCCACAGGCTGCAGCGGCATTCTCATTTCCCCTCAGCACGTTCTCACAGCGGCCCACTGTGTTCACGATGGAAAGGACTACGTCAAAGGGAGTCAAAAGCTAAGGGTAGGATTGTTGAAGATGAGAAAGAAAGGTGGTGGCAAGAAACGTCGAGGTTCTAAGAGGAGCAGGAGAGAAGCTAATGGTGGTGACCAAAGAGAGGGCACCAAGGAGAACCTGCAGGAGCCAGCCAAGGGTGGAAGGAGAAGAAAAGCATCTGGCCGGGGTCGGAGGGTGGCTGAAGGGAGGCCCTCCTTCCAGTGGACCCGGGTCAAGAACACCCACATTCCCAAAGGCTGGGCAAGAGGAGGGAGGGAGGACGCGGCCTTGGACTATGACTATGCCCTTCTGGAGCTGAAGCGCGCTCACAGGAAGAAATACATGGAACTAGGCGTCAGTCCAGCCATCAAGAAGCTGCCTGGTGGAATGATCCACTTCTCAGGATTTGATAACGATAGGGCTGATCAGTTAGTCTACCGGTTTTGTAGCGTGTCTGATGAATCCAGCGATCTCCTCTACCAATACTGCGACGCCGAGTCGGGCTCCACCGGTTCCGGAATCTACCTGCGTCTGAAAGATCCAGACAAAAAGAATTGGAAGCGCAAAATCATTGCCATCTATTCAGGCCACCAGTGGGTGGATGTCAACGGTGTTCAGAAGGACTACAACGTCGCCGTGCGCATCACTCCCCTCAAATACGCCCAGATCTGCCTCTGGATTCACGGGAATGATGCCAATTGTGCCTACGGCTAACAGAGCCTAAAACGGGGTTGTGTCCTCGAAATCGCAGAGAAAACCACATCTGATTATTGTAGTGAGATTACTTCACAGGTTATGCCTGGACTTTGAACCCTATCAATAGCATTCCACATTTTTACAATTTTATTTTTTTCAAAATTAGAAGAGTTACATATTTTAAAAATGTTTAGGTACAGATGTTGAAACTAGATGGGCACTTTCGTACCAAGTATATACTCTTAGATACATGGCGATCATTTACGGGGAAATTTTTGTTTCCTTCTGCCTTCTTAAAAATTAGACACTTTAAAACTTCAAACTGGTGCTAGAAATAATATGTGATTTCTCAGTGGACTTATTCTCAGGGTCCTACTCTAAGAAGAATCTAATAGGATGCCAGTTGTGTATTAAATGTGAAACTGCATATTCAAACATAGATGGCAACACAGTTAGAATCAGGATGGAGACAAAAATTTACAACACAGTTTGTACCACCTGAGATGGCTCCAACCAACTCATGCCCTCAGTGTTTACATTGTTTTCTGTCGAATCTGAGAAATCTAGTGTTTTTTATTAATTTTGAAGAATATTAAATCAGAAGAAACAGCAAGCTTTATAAACAAACTATTAACTATTTCACTGCTTTAAGGAATAGCAATTGCAGTGTGTATTATTTTAAAATGGGAAAAATACTTTGTTGTGTGAAATAAATCTAGTTTAGAAAGAGGGAAGCTGAGACATTTTGGGATCTCAAGTTTTTGTTTAACTAATACTTAAAATTTGGACTTTTCATGTATGCATAGGGAATGATCCTGTATTGAAAACCACATCATTTTATGCTATATTTTCTACTGTGTATGAGATGCTATATTTTTTGGACAAGGAATTCTGTAATCTTTTTTAAGAGAAAGCCTTTTTCCCCTTGACAAAGTTCAGCTTTCTTAACTAGGGCCATAGGCATATTATTTTGGTGACTTCTCTGATTAGTAATTTTAGATATAGTCTTTCCTCAAAATTAATATAATTTACAAATAGGATTTTTTAAAAAAAATTCAGGATGTTATGGGGGTACAAACATTTTGGTTACATGAAATGCGTTTGCCTCACCCAAGCCAGGGCTACAAGCATGTCCTTTCCCCATACAGTGTGACGTGTTTCCATTAGCTATGGGTTTACCCCCCAACCCCCTCCACCCTCCCACCCCCCTACCTGACCACCACCCAACGAGTATTACTACCATGTGAGCACCTTAGCATTGATCAGTTAGTACCAATTTGATGGCAAGTACATGTGGTGCATGTTTTTCCATCCTTGTGATACCTCACTTTGAAGGATGGGCTCAATCTCTATCCAGGATAATATAAGAGATGCTAGATCACCATTGTTTTTTGTAGTTGAGTAGTATTCCATGGTATACATATACCACATTTTATTAATCCACTCATGTATTGATGGGCACTTGGATTGTTTCCACATCTTTACAAATATGATTTTTAAAAGAAGGTTCTGGTTATTTTCCTTAGTGACAAGGCTGCACACTCACACTGGCCATCATGCAGCATAAGCAGAGTCCAGTGTAGGCACTCAGTACTTGTATCTTGAACAGATAGTTGCTGAATCACTCTGAAAGGGGAATAGTTTGGGGCATTATATTTAAAGAGTTTTAGTGATCCATAATCAATGCATCCAAAAATTCAGGAGCTGCAGACCTGATTTCTGGTCTGCTCTTTCTGGCAGTTTCTAGGGCCATATTCTCTTTTCTCATGACGCACTCAAGTCACTGATTCTGCCAGGATTCAAATTTATTTTACTTATTACTATTTTTTTAATAGTGGGGAGTTATACTCTTGATTAGCACACAAAGAAGTTTCTGATTAGATTATGATAAATGATTTTGTAAGTGGTGTCCAAAATAGCTGCCATTCAATGCAAGTGCACATTCTTTCATGTGAAACTGTTAAAAATAATTCAATAAAAATTTAAAAAATTAATCAATTATAACTCTTACTATGTCTGCATATATGTTTTATACACAGAATTTCAGCAAGTATTAGATTAACTACCATTTAAAAAATGATTTTATTTAATTCTAAGTGCATTTCACTGCATAGTATTTTATCATTGTTTCTAAGGAAGAAGGCTGCGAACTCGAAAGTTTTGGTCAAATCTTTTTTGGGGAAACATCTCTGTGATCACTGAAACAATTTCTCAAGGTGAATTTTGTTTACTTGCAAACACATACACACACACACACACACACACACACATCTTCATCTTAGATTCTTTGAACATAACTCTTAGGATTTGAGTAAGTTCAGATAACTTAGGGTGCTTATGCTTAGTACAATAGTTTGGTGCTTAAGGTTAAATTCTGAATATATATAATTTTATTAAAATTATTGTCCAATATAATTTTCAAAAATATAAAATTTAGCTGATGTAATTTGCAGAGGTTTTTTGATTCTCTCACACTCTTCTCTTTTCCATGTGAATCATGAATCTTATATGAACTATATAGGAACACTAAAATGTACTATATTAACCAGAAAGTTTTGCTTCACATACCTTTTCTTTTATACTTATCAGATTTGAAATAGAAAGTTAGATTGAATTCACTTAGCTAAATAAACATACTTACACATATATGTGATTTCTACTGTGTGTAAAGGACTGCATTGACTTATTGCTTTGAGAATCTTAACGATGGTTAAATTCAAATAACCATTTATAAAACAACTGAAATTTAAAATTGTGGAGATTTCTTCTTTACCCAAATAACATATTGTATTTATGTTTTTTTCTTGCTCAAATGGATGTGTGGGGGCAGAGCAACTTAAATTTTTTTCCTTTTTTATATGCTTCATAGTTAAATCCAATGTTCATTTTGAAAAAGATTTAGATATGTGTATGACTGTCTTAGTCTATTCAGGCTGCTCTAACAAAATACCTTAGCCTCGGAATTTATAAGCAATAGAAATTTATTGTTCAAAATTTTGGAGACTGGGAAGTCCAAGATTGAGGTGCCAGCAGATTTGGTGTCTGGCGAGGGTCCATTGCTCATAGATGGCACCTTCTTGCTGTGTCTTCATGTGGTGGAAGAGGCAAAGAACCCCCCTCAGGCCCCATTCATGAGGGCATTAATCTCATTTATAAGAATAGAGCCTTCATGTCCTAATGACTTCCCGATTCCCCACCTCTTATACCATCACCTTGGGGGTTAGGTTTCAACATATCGATTTTGCGGGGACACAAACATTCACACCATAGCAATAACCAAGGTCAGAGTTCTGGACAAATTTTAACCAGTCTTATTTGTAGATCAAAGAATTCTTTCAAATTCTTATGTCATAGAAAGAATCTCAGGATTAGAAGGGACCATAAGAGATCATCTAGTTTAAGCCTATATTTTAAGTTTTAATCCATAGCATTCCTCCATAGCATTCCCTTCAAGTTGTTGTCCAGTGATAGGAAAACAATTTTTACCACTTAAATATTGTTATTAGTTATTCAGAAACAGCTTGTTTTAAATTATTAGTTCAGTTTGCTACATACTGAAAAATTATATTGTTTTGTCTTGTGTTTTATCCCATTGTTGACCATTTCAATTACTCATAAGTCTTTAGCCTTATGCTAGTAAATCAGGTATTTACTCTCATCAAAATGAACTGTGATTATTAAGAATAGTGGGATAAGCCAATGTGAACCAAACAAGAATATGGATCTGTAGCTATAATAACCTGGGAATAGCATCATTATTCTTTAGTGTGGTTTCCCAATAACAAATACCTTTTGGATACTGATTTTAAAAAGTACCTGCCAGGCTTAAAAAATAAACTACTTTTAATAAAAATGATCAGCAAAAACATCTCCAGTTAATTAACAGAAACTTTTAAGATTTTTCCAGCTAGGTCACTGTTCTTTCTCCAAAGGCCAAATCATTAGGTTCAGAGACATTTAGGAGATTGGTGGTGGTGAAATCATGTCCCCATCAAATGGTGTCAATATATAGGCAGATTCACACTTCTTTATTGATTCACTATTCAATTAAGGGGAAAAACCACCCTCAGATGGTGTTCTTTTCTGCTTATAAAATCTAGGGAGGGAAATTCCCTGTTTTCTCCATTCTGTATTTAAAAACTGACAGTTTGATCCAGTCAGCTCAACTATCTAGAACATGGTGGCTAAAATGTCTTATGATCTCAATATGGTCTAGCTTGCTTTACCCACAGATAAGGTGGTGTCTTAGCTGCCACAACAAAACACCACAGACTGTGGCTTAAACAACAGACATTTATTTCTCACAATTCTGGAGGCTGCGAAGTCCAAGATCAAGGTGCTGGCAAGGTAGGTTTCATTCTGAGACCTCTTCTCTTGGCTTGTAGGTGGCTGCCACCTCATTGTGTGCTCCTGTGACCCCTTCTTTGTGCACAAGCGGGGGGAGGGGGAGAGAGAGAGAGTGAGAGCCTCTCTGGTGTCTCTTTTTACAAGGACACCAATCCCGTCATGAGGGTTCTACCCTTATGACCTCATCTAACCCTAATTAAAGGCCCATCTCCAAATACTATCACATTGGGGGTTAGGGCTTCAACGTATGAATTTGGTAGGGGGAGGAAACAAACATTCAGTCCACAACAAGTGTTTATTCTAAACACACATGTTGCACCTCAGGCCAGGCCCAGGGAATTCACAATCACACCAATTACTAGAGGAACAGGGCAAAGGAGTATGGACGGCAGCTCAGAACCACCAATCTTCTCCTAACTTTCATCACCATCATTTCAAGTACTAGTGCCTGGCACAGAGGAGGCGATCCACACATGCTTGAAAATATCCCCAAGTATTCACTGAGGCTTACTCTTTCAGGGCATTACTTACTGTATGCTACACGCTAAGGCTCCACAATGCTACAGGAATTATCTTAATTGTATATTGTATTAAAGATATAGCCACATATTTAAATAATGGGAATTTTGCTTGTAATGAGAGTTTTAATATTGGAATACTATAGCATGCCACTTAAGAAATCAGGTATTTGACACATTCCCTGCTGACTCATGTGTGTTTCTGATACAAGTGCCTTCAGACAGACAGGTGCCAGCCTCCTGTAGTTACACCTCATCCTCTCTTCTGCCACGCCAACATTTAATCAGTTAATCTCTGCCTCAAAAAACTGTCTCCGAAGTCTTTTTGCTTTAGTAATATTTTAAAATTTCCAATAACATTTTAAAATCCATTCACTTTTCTGAAGCACTGAGGAAAAATCGGTCACTTACTTAGCACATCTACTTTGATCCACCCTGCAATGAAGATGATCAGATGGTCCAGATCCACCAGTGACTCCCTGGGTGGTTTTACTGG